GTCCTGAAAGCGCTGTAGCAATCTTAGCAAGGGCATGGTCATGAGCCAACCCGGGAGCTCCAACATGTGCAAGCAGCTCACATCTCTTCAGTGGGGAGTGGATTGCCATGGGAAGTCATTAGGGAAAGTACTGTAGCGGGGTATGTGTTTTCCCCTTGGGATATGAAGCTTTGACTGCTATTAATAACAGATGTGGCCAGCCAATTACAGAGTGGAGTTGGGTAATCACATCTTGCATTTTAAGGCTTAATCTGATCACCTTTGGGGTCAAGGAATTACATAGTTATCATAATGGTTAAAGTCTGTTTGTGCCACCACTTATGGACCAAAGCTCAAGCCTTGGAGGTCCGAAATGGAGTTTATCATGCACAAGTGTGCATGCTTATGTGTCTTTGTGATTTGTGTGTGTGTGTGCATGTATAAGCTGCTCCAAAGCTCGGCCCTGTCACCCTGGCTTCCTCTCAAGTCTACCTGGTAAATGTTTCTCTTGAGAAAATGGGAAGCCAAGAGGCCTCGATTCTGCCTTCAGTTCTGCTCCAATTTCTTTGGCAATTCCTAGGCTTTAGCTCATTTGTGAAATTAGGGCAGTCTCCCAATGTTTACTTCTTTGTCTCCTCTACACAACTGGGAGATCCCTAAAGGCAGAAGCTCTTGTATCAATCACTGAATTCTCAGTGTCGGAAATAGTGCCTGGCATACAGTAGACACTCAATAAACACTGAACAAATGACTCTCTTGAGTTTCCTTCCAGTGATGATGTGGCATGATTCCATGAAACCATAATCTAATGCCTTGAGTGGATTCCAACACATGCAGCAGATAACGTTGGCCGTCAGCGCTCTTCTTAGTTTTCTCTGCCTACTGTTGAGAACATTTGCACCGGAATATAACATGTACGAAAGGAGATGATGTTGAGATCCGCCAAATTTTTCTCTTCTCTGGCAGTGCCGAAAATGATTTGGATGAAAAAGACACTGAAAGTATTGAAGTGTTGGTGATTTGCTGGCTTTATTCAAGCAGGCATGTCTGCCAATCATTCCCATCCATACTTGAGAACCGGCCACCCACAACACTTGTCACCAAGGCCTCTAGACTCAGTTCCCCTTGGTGAGAAAAGACCACTGGCTAACAATGTCTGAAGGCTTCAAGTGACATGACGATCACTCCAGATTTGGAAGGGGAAATGACCAAGCAAGACCTTCTGGGTTTTTTGTCTGTTTTCACGTACATGAGTCAGGGTTCTTGGATGTAAACACCACAAATAAACTCTGGCCAACGGAAGCAGAAGAGGAGTTTAAGAATTTCAGGTACCACAAAACAAGTGGGCTCTACCACACACACCCTCCCTGCCACCACCACTGAATACTGCTTGCCTCGCGGGTACCCCACCACCAGGATGAACATTAACTTGTTCTTTTCTTTTTGTACTGCTTGTTCAAAATTCAAAGTTCCAAAGGGAGCAGATGATTGGCCAAGCTGGGCCATACCCAGGCGAGTACAGGCATGCCTACACAGGTTCGGTTCTGGACCCCTATAATAAAATGAATATCACAATAAAGTGAGTCAAGCGAAATTTTTTTGTTGTTGTTTCCCAGTGCATATAAAATTCATGTTTACACGATACTGTAGTGTATCAAGTGTGCCACAGCATTACATCTAAAAAAAATGTACAGGGGCGCCTGGGTGGCTCAGTTGGTTAAGCGACTGCCTTCGGCTCAGGTCATGATCCTGGAGTCCCTGGATCGAGTCCCGCATCGGGCTCCCTGCTCAGCAGGGAGTCTGCTTCTCCCTCTGATCCTCCCCCCTCTCATGTGCTCTCTCTCTCTCACTCTCTCAAATAAATAAATAAAATCTTAAAAAAAAGTACATACCTTACTTTAAAAATATTTTATTGCTAAAAAATGCTAACCATCATATGAGCTTTCAGTGAGTTGTACACAATGATCACGGATAACCATAACAGATAAAATAATGGAAAAGTTTGAATATCGTAAGCATTGCCAAACTGCAACACAGAGACATGAAATAAGCAAATGCTGTCAAAAAAAAGGCACCTGTAGACTTGCTCGAAGCAGGGTGCCCACAAACCTTCAATCTGTAAGAAACATAGTATCTGCAATGCATGATAAAGCAAAGCACAATAAAACAAGGTATGCCATATCTCTCCCATTGGGCTCCCAGAATGGAAAGGAAGGTCCTAACTCACACAGTGGAGGAATCCCCCAAATAGAAAAGAGTTTTGTCTGCTGGTCAGCCACAGAAAAATGACAGGGATTTACTACATCACAACTCAATCGTGTAGCATCTGTACGCTTTGATAATCCACCATTTGTAAAGATGGGTAAAACCTAGAGTACAGTCGCACACCCAGTACCCTAAGTGGGGCAGACTCATGATGAATGTAGGTAGGGCTTGTTAGGATTCTTGCTCTAAAGGTTGAAAAAATTACCAGCCAAAATTAAATTTTAATGATTTAGCAGTTTCTTGCTACTTTACCCAGGGCAATTTTGGAAGTTGTGGTTAAGTGTGCTACCAGTATGCTATAAAATTCCTGCAGCTGGCACGAATTAACCCAAGGGAACTTTCAACTCCTGATCACGTTTCCATTCCTCCCCTAGGTTCTCCCACCTCCAAAAAGCAAGAGGACCCCAGGCCTCACTCCTTCTTAGCCCCGTGGTTACTCTGGAAGTCCTCAGAGACTCGGCTTCAGACCTTGGCCCCAGCTTCCCTGTAGAAAGGTCTAGGATGAGCCAGTTCAACTTCTAGTTTATGTCAGGCTTCGGAAGGCTGAGTGGAGAAAGGGGCAGAACCCAAGATGGGAGAGAAAACCTCTCTTAGCAAATAATGCTGATGCTCAAGACAATAAACAGGCCTGAGATCTACGTATGAAAAAGCAGAAATGAATTATAAGTAAATGTGATAACATTGTCAATAAAGTAAAAGAGAAGAGGTAAGTGACAGCATGGTTTGTATAGTATGCTTCTGTTTGTTTTTAAAAAGGAAATATACCAGTATATATGAATAAGAAATCCTGGAAGGGTAACCTAGGACCCATGGGAATTAGTGAGAGAGGCAAAGAAAAACCTTTAGGTTTCACTGTATATCCTATTTCTGTTTGCATGTTGACTGTGAGTAAGCAGTCTCTGTATAATTAAAACAAACACATTTAAAATGATGTAAAAGCGAAGCACAGCAAGAAAAAGGAGTAAAATCAGCCACTATCAAGCAGGAATCAGGGGTCAAGAAAGAACTTTTTTCCAAACAGTGGGCTCACCTGAGCCTGTGGGAAGGCAGACTTCTCTCTGTTAAGAACACGTTTCTACTGGCAGGCCCAAAGGGGCAACCATCTCTGTATCTTTTCCTTACTGTTCCTCAGAACCAGGCCTCTACTCAACTCGGGAGGGAACGTACCTTCTACTTTCTCCCCAGGCATTTGGGCAAGACCTGAGAAAGGTGACTCAGGGAAAGGCACTTTCTGGGCCTCACACCTCTGCAAGGCTCAGCACATGTCTCCATGGCAGGGGTGGCCCTCTCTCTTCTCCCCACCAAAAGAGTCCATCATTACTAAAAACACAAGTCTTTTTAATAATGGGCCTGCTTGGGGGCGCGCCTGGGTGGCTCAGTTTGTTGAGCAACTGCCTTCGGCTCAGGTCATGATCCCAGGGTCCTGGGATGAGCCCTGCATCGGGTTCCCTGCTCCTCAGGGAGCCTGCTTCTCCCTCTCCCTCTGATACTGCTCCCCCTGCTTGTGCTTGCTTTCTCTGTCAAATAAATAAATAATCTTTAAAAAAAAAATAATGGGCCTGCTTGGTTTGTTGTCCTGTAATAATCGTGGTGATGTTGGTGGAAACTAGTTTGGAAACTAACTGACCTTTAGAGCAGAACAAGTAACTACCCAGACTTTACTAAATGATGCTGGGTAGATTCTGTCTTCTTCTGGGTTACCAAAAGCAACCCCCAAACCGTCTATATTAGAGCTTGAAGGACAGCATACTGAAAGGAGGGTGACGATGAGGCTTAATAAAGAGCCCTTAAAAGAAAGAAGGAGCGCTCTCTAAATTCCCACTGACATTGGGAAATTCTATCCACACACAACCCTAGACACCTGCAAGGGAAGGACTGGGGTGCAGGAGCCAGAACAAATCTAATACCCCAGTTCTTCCCCACCACTTCCCACTGCCCCAAATTTTCCAGGCTGATGTTTCCCCTTTTTTTCTCAACTCTTCTGAGATTCTAAGAGCTCACTTCAATTCATGCAGCACAAGGAAAAGTGAGGGACTGAACCCCTTTCCCCCTTGCCCTGGAAGAAGCAATCTGTAGGACCCTAACAGCAGGGTCTGTGAGGCACAGACCCTCCAGTTTTTACCCCTCTAGCGCAAGGAAACGCCCAGTTCACATCCCTCTGGACAAGGGTGGCTGGAGGAGGTTCAAACAGCCCCAGGCGGGTGGGGAGCCAAAGCCAGACAAAGCCGCCCAACGTAGGGTAGTGACTGCCAACTCTGGCTGGGCTGCTGACTGCGACCTTTCTCCACCTTTCACTCAGATGTGTGGCTGGCAGTCCTCCAGGAAACCCCCTCAGCTACCAAGGCAAGATGACCTACCCCAGCTCCATCCTCACACCCACTTAGCCCCATCCTCAGGGAGTTCCAGCTCTTTCCCCAGTACTTGAGAAAGGTCCTGCAATGGGCTTCCCTCGCGCAGGGCCCTTCCCCAGACACCTGAAGGGGAGGTTCTTTGGACTGTCCCCCAACAGCTGGGGCCCAGCCTTGCCCTGGTTTCTGCTTGTCTTCTGGGAACCCCCCACGTCCGCCAGCCGCCGCCTCCAGCGCAGCTCTCGGCCAGGCGTCAGCGGTGCAGGGGCGACCGCCCGCCCTGGCTTAAAGCGCGGCCGTCCCAATCCGGGCCTCGGGCCTCGGTGGGTCCCCGGCCCTGGAGGCCCGGAGCAGTGGCGCCCCCGCCCCTATGAGCGCACAAAGCCGGGGGGCCGCCGGAACCCTGGGCCCCGCCGCGATCGGCCGCTGGATCCCGACCGCCCAGGGCGCACAGTGCGGCCGCCGGGTGCGAGGGAGACGCACGGCAGCGCCAGCCTCCGGGCTGCGCTGGTTAGGTAGCAGGGGGGACCGGAAGGATGGCGAGGAAGTAGGAGAGGGTTTCCTGAGATGAAAGATTACTTCCGTCCGGGCTCTGGCCTCTCTCTGGAGCCGGCTCGTTGGGGGCAGGGGAGCGGGGCGCGCGGGGCTTTGGGGGCTGCGCCTTGCCACCTGCAGCGCCCGCACCGGGCGGGACGCGCGCGGCCCTGTCGGGGGGCTAACGCGGGGGGATTCTTGCAGGTGGGACTCGAGGGCATTTCCTAGCGCCCAAGCCATGGTGGCCAAACAGCGGATCCGGATGGCCAACGAGAAGCACAGCAAAAACATCACCCAGAGGGGGAACGTAGCCAAAACCCTGGTAAGGCGGGGGCGGCGCCGACCCGGCCGAGCGGGGCAGGGCCGGCGGGGGCGGGGCGGGGCCGACCGGGCGTGGGGCGGGCGCAGGGCCCGGCCTCCCGGCTCCCCTTCCCCGGGCCCGGCCCGCCCCTCCCGCCGGGTCCCGCGGAGTGGGCTCTGAGAGCCGGGCTCTGGGAAGCGAGCACCACGAGGTGGTCTCGTGGGCGGCGAGAGTCGGGGTGGTGGTGGACCTTCTGGAGTGGCTGCTGGGGCTACCACCGGGGCTCGGAAGAGCCTCCCCAGGAGAGGATGGGGCCTTTGTCTGTGGGAAAAACGGAAAGTTACATCCTTAAGGAACAGTTAAAGGAACTGCGTGACACGGGGCCCGGAACCTAGTAGGTGCTAGAACGTTTGGTGAATGAATGAATGAATGAATAGGTAAATGGAGACCACTTATCATCACCTCCTTCCAGGCTTTGACCCCTGCCCTCCACCCTCAACAGACAGATTTAAGTTTTCTTTCCAGCCCCTTTCTAATGGGGCTGTATAAATTGGAAGGGCTCAAAGTGCCAAATGAGGTTCAGACCCCTGTTTCCTTTCATCCTCCTTTCTCTCCTTTGCCTCTTCCCTAGTGAGGCCTCTCACCACTGGGCTGAAGTTTAAATGTAACATAACTCTTGTTCACCCTTTGAGTTTTGGCTCATCCTAATGGTATGATCCAGAACTTTGGAGACCAGATTAAAGCTTTTATAACTGGATTTTAAAGTAAAATCTGGGCCTTGTGCACAGGGGTTTCTTTTAGCAAAGCAGAATATCTTCAAGAGAAAATGCCGGACCTGTGATTTTGGACATTCAGAGGCATGCCTGGGATGAGTTGTTGGGCAGTGTTGGGTCTCCAAGTCTATGAGCCAAGGCGCCTGGAATCTATTATCCTAGACACTTAAGCAAAGTCCAACTGAAGCTTGGGGTTTGGCTGGAAAAACTTACAGACCTGATGAGGCCATTCCTTTTAGCCAAAGAAATGATGCTGGTTTGAGTAACTGAGCAAAAAGCTAGAGCTACAATCATCACAGCAGAATTCCTACAAAACCGAGCAGTACTATGGCAGAGAAACCTTAGGATCAAACTCAGCTCTACCCAGAGCTTTATACACAGCTCCAGACTTAAGTTATGCTTGAAATTCTCTCATAGGGTGTTAGATCATTTAGTTATCACCTTGCAGTAAAATGCAAATATACCATTGAATCAGAACCACTTTTCACATAGATCTATTTTCCCTATTTGTTTTTACTCAGAAAAAAACAAAGCGTGCTCTCCAAATTGACCTTGGAAAAGCAAATTTTAATTGATGTTAAAGCACTCAGGGTTTTATATTCCTAGGAGATCACTTCGTCCTAGATATCATACAGATTAGCTGTGTGGTTCTTTTTAATGAACCAAGAACTTAAGGAACTAGGAAAGTTATTAACTGAACTCAGTTGACAAATATCGCCTGCAAAATTAGCAACTGGGGAACTGATTTGCAGAGCTGATGTATCCATTAGGCTTGGTAAGCTCAATGTCTGCGACCTCCAGCTTTTCAAGGCCATTGGAAGGTGTTTGAGACCTGGGGGAAAGGGAAAGTTACTGTCTTCAAAATAAGAAAAGAAAATTTAAAAATTGGAGGAAAATGTTTAAATATCTAGGAAATGTACTTACCCCCATTTCAACTCAACTAAACTTTCAGAGCTGCATTCAGATTTGTTTAATCTATGATGCGAGTGAATTTTAATAAGTTCTGATGGACCATGGAATGGTGCCTGGCACCTATGTGGGTGTCCAAACGGCCCTGTTACATTTGTAGTGAAAGTTTTCCAAACCAAGCCACAATCTCTGTTTATCTTCAGGTGGTTAGAAGGGCTCTTTGGTTAACTTTATTGTAAATGGACCAGCATCCAAAAAGAAAAATGAAATTTTCTTTCAAAAGGAAATATTTTAAACCCTAAATCTCATTCTCCTAATTACAGGTCAAACACAGTTATACTTTGAAAGAAGTAACTTGCAAGGGATAACCTGTTCAGGAGGAAATTGAGGACACGTGAACAGATTCTAACTGAAAATTCGGAATAATCTTTCAGAAATAAACCCCTTCAGTTGTATGCAGATGCTTCAATATTTCCTTAGCTAATAGCTATGGAGTGAATACTATTCTCCCAGATAGCAGATAAATTGAAGAAACAAAGAAATAGAATAATCATTTTGTGATTACACAGTAGTAACTAATCTAGAACGAAGAGGGATTTAAATTTCAGAGTTCAGAGTTACCCTGCTGGTATGTAATCACAGGGAAAGCCAGTCCCTGACATTCCGAAGCCTCAGGAAGTAGTGAACTCCTGTTTGAAATGAACCATGTTATTTGCAGAATTCTACTGCTTTTGTTACCTTTCCCAGTGATAGATTCAGGCTTGCGTGCATTGCCTCAATGGGATTGTGCTGGGGGCTGCTTCCAAAAAAGAGGAACTTAAAGCTCTCAGAAAAAGGATATATTGCTGTTCTTGAGCTCTGAAGGTCCCCCAAATAATATTGATTCACTGGAAAATGTCATCCAACAGATTCTGGAGTTATATAGTCCAAACTCAGCATGTTGGTAATTTGTGTTTTTCTGCAAAAGACAAATAATGGACTCCATTCGGTATCTGCGCTAGACCAGTAATTCATGTATAAGGCTCCTGAATTCACTTGTTGGCTTTGCTGGAGTTAGAGCTAAATGAACTTCTTATGTAGCATCAGCGGGATGACAGCAACAGAGCTGGTTTCTGGTCAACTCTGACAGATTGTTAGGGCGTTAGTGAAAGAGGGTGGGGAGGGGTAAGTGCCACACTCTGTTAGGTCACTTTATTTACTATCTCGATTATTTACTTGATCTACCCTTGATCTGGTGTTAAGGGCCAAAGAAAGACACAGTAGCAGCACTGGATAAAGTTATGCAGTTGTGTAAGACTGATTGTGTCCTTCTCTGGTCAAGCGCAGCTACCATTCCAGGTGCTTCGCTCCTCCAAGAGTGGTGCTAGATACAAGCTTGTCAAGGACAGAGCGCTGAGGGGTTTTCATCTTTAGAGTCTACCTGCCATTAGCAATTTAACCTATAGTTCTCTAGTAAGAGAGACGCAGGGACAACCTTATCACCAGTTAGGAAGTATTTATAAAAAACAACAATATCCTTCCTAGACCCTGTCTCTCCTCGACCTGACCTAAGAAATCATATTCAACGAAGTTCGTAAGCTCATTCATTCTTCAATGAGCACTTATTTAGCACCTACTGTGTTTAAGTCCTGTGCCAGGCACTGTTGTGCATTGTAACAGGACAGTGCCTGTCCTTGTGAGTCCATAGTCTGGCGGAGAGACAGACAGCACACACATTATCACGAGAATAAACAGATACGAACTGTGATAGTTGCCGTCCAGAAAACATACCTGGTGATGTATAAGTGGTCAGTGAGCCCACTGAGGTAGAGGAGTGGAGGCTCTCTCACAACGTACCAGGCAAGCTGAGAACCAAAGCATTGTTGCTTATCTGTAATAAAATGAGTTCTCTAATTGACGTTGGTGATAGCTTGTTTTTGGCTCACACACATGAGGAAACATTGGTGAGTTCTTTATTTTTTTCACTCCAGCTTCTCCCTTTTTATTTGAGAAAGTCACCACTTTTATGGATGCCTCTCTCTAAAAATAGTTTTTCCACTGATCGATTTGATTTTAAGGACCAAGCCCTACCTGCAAATAGACCTAGAGGGGTTGTGGACGGTTGTTCTTACTATGTCTGTGCTGTCGGTTTGAGGGGAGCAGGAGGTATGCAGGGCTCTGGTGGTGCCCTTCTGCTCCCCAGGGAACACAGGGATTTCGCCAAAGAGAAAGCTTCACTGAGGTTCAGGAGCTTTATTACAAAATGCTGCTTCCTTCGCATATCCACTCACGGTTGCTTTGGTGCTTCTGCCATTCCAAGGATTTCCACGGCACCAACTTGCCAACTTTTTTTGGCCTGTAGAAGGTTTTGAGAAAATAGCTTTTCTGTGACGTTACTTGGCATTCACAGATTCGGGGAATTAAAGATGACCCTATTAATGGAAGACACCCAGGTTCTCCGATGGAGCAGACCTAAATCCCAGCCCTTGCTCAAGTGAACATACTTCAGGTGTCCGTTTCCCAACTACAGATTGGAGATAAGACTATGCCTTGCATGGCGTTGTGAGTGGTGGAAATGTGTAGACTGCTTAGGGGAGAGCCTGGCTTAGAGTGTGCCTTCAACACGTGGAAGCAACTTGTAGCAGTATTGTTTGGGGCTCCCAAACCGCTGTATTGGTTTGTGGATTTTTACCCCATCTGTCCCCAGAATATTTAAGCCCACAGAGTTCACTGAGTTACAGGAGTATAAATAAGGTTATGATGAATCTTTTCACACCTATCTGGACCCTTTACAATTGAATTTCTTCATCTACGTCTGCCCACTGGGCATGGAGACTGGATCCGTCTCACTCACTGTGGCATCCCCAGCCTTTAGTAGTGTCTAGTAATTACCCCACAAATGTTTCCTGCATCAATGAACTTAACCTTCCTTTCCCCCATTCCCTTTCAGAGGCCACAAGAAGAGAAATATCCCGTGGGACCATGGCTGTTGGCACTGTTTGTTTTTGTTGTCTGTGGCTCAGGTATGGGTTTTTTACTGATCTCACAGCCCGTGTTCTGCTCTGTCCTTCAAAACACACTTCACAAGTAAATAGACAAAAAAATATATTGATCTGGGATTCAAGTTAATCCCTGCCTGAAGCCTTCATCTTAGTGGGTTTTGATTTGATCTCTCTGGTCCCCCAGAGCAAATACGAGACAGAATTGATATACTATCGAATCATAATCATAAAATGATGACACCAAGCAATTAAATTGGCTGAATACACTTTCGAGTTCAGTTAAAACTTTGTGTGAAAACATAGCCCTAAAAGGGCAGTTAGAACAGGAGCCACCTGTCTGCCTGAGATAGATCCATTTCCAGAGAAAGGGAGAGGCTTTCTGCCTTAAGAGGAAATGCCACAGAGCTCCTAGATAGAGCTGAGCCTTTGACCTGAGCCTCAACGAACAGTCACCTCATACCGGAGGGTGGTAAGTTCAGACAGCTTTGCTTACACTCACGTGCAAACACACACACACGCAGGGGAGGCTTGAGCAAAGGATCATGCATTTGTTTTGAGTTGAATTCTGTTACTGGAAGTCTTGGAATTCCTGGCCCCCACGGGTTGGGTCTCGAAAATCGTGGTAAATGAGGAGAAGTGGGGTCACTTCTAACAAGGCAGGCCTTCCATGATTCCCAAGATCTCTCACTCAAAGAAACAAAACTGTACCCCATTCCCAATCTTTTACCCAACATGGGCATCCCTCGTCTTTAACAGACGTTACCCAACCTCTGCTAGAATACTTCTGAGGGTGGAGGGTTCACTTCTTCAAAAAGCCTCTCCCATTTCTGTATAGCTCTAATTCTGTTAGAGACATCTCCCCGCGTTTGAGCTACACTGTGCTGTCTTCCCAATAGTTGAGGTATGAACTCCTAAAACCATGGAGCATAGACTCATTCTCTTCTGAACATCTTGAATCTTCGGATATTTTAAAGATGAGTTTAAACTCTGCAAACTAAACTCCCCTACTTCTCTCAACCTCGCCTCATAAGATGTGGTTTCTGGACCCCTCTTCTGGATGCACTGCATGACTCTCTTAAAATATAGAGCATTTGCAGCTGCGGAAGTGGGTCTAGAAATGGTGTGACTGCTACAGAGGCAGAAGGATTATCACGGCCCTTGATCCCATCATTCTACTTCTATTAATATGACCCAAGCTTCAGTTTATTTTCAACAGTCACAGCACATCCTAGACTCACATCGAGCTAATAATGACCAGCCCAGCGCCACCAGGCTCTTTACATAAATGTCCTGCAAGCTTCAGAGATGCATCTCCACACCTCCCCCCAATCCAAGCTGTCCCTTGTCCCCATCACACATTGCTTTATTGTATTCATGGCCCTCATCAACATATGAAATTATTTCGTTTGCTTACTTATTATCCATTTTCCACTACTGGGACATAAGCTCAGGGAAGGCAGTGTTGATTGTCCATTAAATCTGTACATTCTTGTAAGTATTTAGCACGTAGTGAGTGCTCAGTGTGGTGGGACGGATTCATGGATGTGTAGATGGATGAATAAAGCCAGACATTCCGCATACTGTAGATAGCCAGTTGATTTTTTTGAGACCTAATATACAGCTTCATGAATATTTCTATTAAAATTGTATAGTTGGTTGTCAGTTGTCTTTTTACAGAGTAGCCATGAAGTCTAGAAAAGTAGAAGAACAGACATAATAAATGGCTTGCCGATCTTATAATGTACGATATGGTCAGTGACATTACATGATATGGTCAATGTATCACCTTCATTAGCAATGCATGGTTCAGAGCACTGTAGAAAATTGCAAGGAATATGGTGCATCGAAGCCACATTTCCATCAGCGCCAGCATATTCCTCTGTTATGCGTTGCCTCAGATGATCTGTCTCTGATTTTCACCCCAGAACAAAACAAACTAAATATGCCTTTAGCATGCCACACAAATATCAGAAAAATAAATCTATATAAAAAAGTAATCTGCATTTTCATGCTTTGTGGCCAGGCTGTTCATTATTCAATCTTGAACCTTGAGCCTTTTATCTAATCATCTTTCTTGGCCAGCTTTATAGTCTCTGAAAGTATAATGTTCCTCCAAGTCACTGATAAAGTCTAGACATGGAGAAGCCCGCGGAACGCAGTTAGAGACAACTCCCTTCAGGTTGACCTTGAACCTCTCAGCAAAACTCGCGCAAACAATCACCATGCGTTGGGGGTCCCCTGTGTGCCTGGCACTGTGCCGGGCTTTGGGAACACAAACGCCTCCAAGGGCCTGTAGGCACTGAGGGAGGCAGATAAGGAATCTGTCTGTTGTACCTGGGGCGGGGGGAGTTCTGTGATAGTGGAGCGCCCCGCGTGCTTCGTGGGCACGGATAAGGGATTGTCTTCATCTGTTCGGGCTGCTATAACAAAATACCACAGACTAGGTGACTTGTCCGAGCACAATGTATTGCTCACAGTTCTGGAGGCTCGAAGTCAGACTGGGGTGCCAGTATGGTTGGGTGACGGCCCTCTTCCCGGTCACAGACTTCTCATTGTGTCTTCCTGTGGTATCCTCACAAGGCAGAGGGGGGAGGGAGCTCCGTGGGGTCTCTTTCATGAGAGCACGGATCCCATTCATGAGGCCACCCCCCCTCATGACCTAATCACCTCCCAAAGCCCCCACTTTCTACCACCGTCACACTGGACATTAGGATTCCAACATGTGAGTGCGAGAGAACGCAAACAACCAGACTAGAGTGGGGACTTGTAAGTCATCCTGGGCAGAGGAGAAAGTTTCCCAGACGAGGTGCCATTTGCACTGAATGTCAAAAGACAAACAGCTTGAGATGGTATGCGAGGCTCAAGAATGGCCAAAGCCCAGTCCTAGGGATCCATGAGCCCAGTCAGCCCGCAAGCCCGCAAGCCCGCAAGCCCGCAAGCCGGGGTTGTCAGGGACTAAATAGGTCCAGAGCCAATACTGGGGTTTTTTTGATGTCAAGATACACATTAACTGCCTGCACCACTGGGTAGCCTATGGGCGGGGGCGGGGGTGGGGTAAGTCAATAAAGTCGTTCGGTCTGTTTTTCTCAAACCTGTGTTCGTTCTCAATACCCATCTTTTTCAGAGGGCTTAAAAACCTTCTCTAAATTACATTTTCATTACAATCTTGCCAGGCTATTGGCCTGATCAGTGGGAACGGTGTCTTTTCCCCCTGGGTAAATTGGGACATCTGCTGACAACAATCTTTTGGAGCCCTCCCAGCCTCCATTCGTTTTTTCAGGGATTAAATACATTGGCTCTGTTATGCTTTCTGTTATGCTTTTTGTCCAGGGTCCTGGGGTGGGAGCCTGCAGGGCCCGGAGTTGCGGATTTCAAGCGGCTGAGAGGACACAACCCGCCCCGCCCCCCCCCCCACTCCCCCGCTTCAGGTCCCGTGCTCTTCTAGTTACCCTGCTTGAAATCCTTCTAGTCAAGACCGCGTGCCTTTATGGAGAGGCTAGTCAGGAGTTGGGTCATCTTACTTTCTCTGTGCTCCGTTAACATGCTACCATGAACCCTAAGTCATGAGCATCATCTCTTTTTAAATCATAACTAGGAATAATCCACTACACCACCTTTTTTTTTTTGCTTACTTTATCTTTTTTTTTTTTTTTTTGTAAGCCTCAGCTCAAGCCAGGCACTGTTCTCACAAAAATGTGTCACTCTTCTCAACTTGTCCTTGGTACCGTGCCCTTCCTTCTATCTTTGTATGTGTTCTTCTCTATCCAAAACATGTCATGAAAAACACAATAACTCCGTTAGATCTGTCCCTGTTGCCTCCTCCCTGGGATGAGTCACGATTCCGTTCATCTTGCAGAGCCTCCTGTCCCTCTGGAGTTTCTCCTTCTGAGGGTTGCAGGGCCGGTGTGTTCTCTGCATGTGAAAGGGGGCCATTTCCACCAAGTCCAGCCAGTCAGGTCCTCTGCTTCGTGTCATGAGACTTCTCGGTGTTGGGATGATTGAAGCTCCTGGTCACTGTTCTCTCTCAGTCCACGTGGCTGGTGGTTCATAGTTTGTATACTTTTATACAGGAAACTTATGGAATCTTCGAAGATTAATGAAAGTGTTGATCATTGATCTGATTCTCTCGAAAGACTCGCTCTCATTACCTCACTCTGTTAACCCACTTTTCTAATAATGATTGGTTGGGCAAAGTGCTCTTTTTAGAAGTAGTGTGGGTGTACCTAGGATAAATAAATATTCAGGTCAGGCGAGTAATCAGGAATGCACATCTTATCTGCTTTCTCAGCTAGCTTGTGGGAAAGGATCAAGACTGGGAAAATGTTGGCGTTTAAGTATATGCTCTCTTATTGGCCACCCTTACTCCATTTTATGTGGAAAAACAAGTGCCCAAACCTCCAGGAGGTTACCAGACCCCTTAACTATGGGGAGCGATGTGTCACAGCAGAGTCCTGACCCCTTGCGTCTCGGCTGCTTTGCTGCGGCCTTCCTCATTCTCCACACATGCTTCTCATGCCTGCGGCGCTGATAAGAGCAAGATAAAGAAAAGGAAGGGGGAGGAATCAGGAGAGCCGGGAGGGGACAGAGCACGGGCGCCCAGAGACCCCTGGCACAAACACGCACCGGGCCAATGCTCGCCCCCTCACCAGGAAATCAGATAAGAGCGCCAGACCTCCTGGGGCTGCCCTGAGCCCAGGCACTGGGTTGTAAACTCTAATACATTGTCCCGTTGAGCTGCAGTTGGAGGAGGCTCTTTAAATACACCTCTCTTCAGACTAAGTAGATTTCCACTTTCCGTGATTGCAAAAGGGCTCTTGGGCAAGACACTTCTTTGAAAACTGACCAATTGGCAGTGAGAGGGTAAGAGGTTAAGAGGCCTCGGAGAGGGGGGATAGTTCTGGAATGTGCCAGATGTAGGTTCAAAGCCTAGATTTGCTATCAGCTGGACAACCTTGGACACATGATTTACTCTCTGTATCGATTTCCTTATTGATCAGAGAGGGATAACAGTAGCCCCTGCA